AGTTCTCACCTACATCGTCCATATAGGACGACTCGGGAACTCAACTCCTACCCCGGGCAGCTCACCTATCCCCTTATGCCCAGGGGAAAGGTATCAGGCCGTTTGACAGCTGGTACTGGCTGTCAAAACGGCTTTTACGCGAAACAGGCGGGAGGCAGCAAACAGCTGCGACCGACGAAGTCGCCTGCCACCGGAAGTCGACCGGAACTCTCTTATCATAGATGCTATTTAAAGTGGAAATTTTGTGCTAGTAATTGATGCCCACATATTTTTTTTTGTACTGTAACAAGTTCCTGGTGCTTGAAAATGTTTAAAGCCAAGTTTGGAAATTCAGCTGTCTTATTAAATTTTTGCTCCACAAGAAGTAGAACTCGACTATCAAAAGTGAGCAAAGTCAGACATCCTTTGGTGTCTACTTTGGCAGGAAGTGGAATTCTCTTTGCCAACATTTTCATGTTTTCATGCATTTTGCAGGTGAATATGGCAAAATCCACTTAGACTGACTTTTGAACAGGTTCTGGTGTGCTTGGTTTAATTTTTGGGTTAGTTTCTTGTTGCTAAGCGGTTCAGGAATCTATCTGCTTCATGTTTGTTCAAGTCCAGTTTTCTAATCTTTCACCTAAATATTTGCACTTACTGACATACTGTCAGGCAAAATTTAGGAAAAAAATAGTTATGCAGAAGAGGAAAATGAAGCATCTCCAGAAAATCTGGAGTCAACCCAGGAAATAATATATGTTTTTCCAAAGGAGCTTCTGTTATGGTTTCTCCAGTCACAATCTATGCCATATTTTATTTGGATGGGACTCTGAATCACACATTATTAACTCCTCTGATAACTTTCAACATCTGCTACACTTTTTATTTATTACTGTTTACATATTTTAAACTAAGACAACTGCTCTTGGAATTTGGCAACTAGACTAAGGAAGAGTAAGCTGCAAATGCTCTTATGATCAGGGCCCCCCGCTCTTCACTGAATTTATCTGGGTTGAGGAAGTATGGAAGCATCAGACTGAAGAAACAAAATGGGATTTCTCTCAGTGATGATAGATAAAATCATAACAAAACCTTTATTTACAAAATGCAGTTTAAAAAATAAAATACACAGAAAATAATGACAGTTAGAACAATTAATCATGACAGTTAATTAATCAATCAACCTGCCTCCAGAAGTTGTAAATGCTCCAACACTGGAAGTTTTTAAGAAGAGACTGTATAGTCATTTGTCTGAAATGGTATAGGGTTTCCTGCCTGAGCAGGGGGTTGGACTGGAAGACCTCCAAGGTCCCTTCCAACTTTATTATTATTATTATTATTATTATTATTATTATTATTATTATTATTATTATTATTATTATTATTATTATTATTATTATTATTATTATTATTATTATTATNGACCTCCAATATCCCTTCCAACTTTATTATTATTATTATTATTATTATTATTATTATTATTATTATTATTATTATTATTATTATTATTATTATTATTATTATTATTATTATTATTATCATTATCATTATCATTATCATTATCATTATCATTATCATTATTGTTGTTCGTAAATAAGTTTTAAAAAGGTAACATCCATGCATCCAACAAATAATGTAATTGTTAAGTTATACTATCAAACAAAAAACCTTAAATAATCATAAATTAGAAATCCTAAAAAATAATGTTATATTGGTATACATTGCCTAGATTATACATTAAAGTATTTATTCTTGGAAAATACAATAAAATCTATGTCAAAGGGAAACATAGTGTATCAGTTTTTGATTTGTAGAGAAGGAACCTTTTCAAGTAATGATAAATTACACATTTCTTGAAACTTGTTTTTGAAACCTGGAATAGTAATATTTTCCTTGATACCTAGAAAAGTAGTACCTTTCCAATCTGTCAATACCTTGACTGTTCCCCATTATAAACAAGTTCCTTTAAAACAATCAAAACAATCTATGGTTTCATAAAATGTAATTCAAAATACCATTAACATCTTTCACGTGAAAACACTTATCCATACATCTACCTATATAAGTTACAATATTGTTCCAAAATAAAACCAAAGTTGGGTATAAGTTAATGGACCTTATATGAGTTACATTATATGAGTTAATGTACTCAAGTCTGAAGAAAACTTAATATTTTTAATAGTTGAATTCATTGATACACCATTATCAGATGTTTTAGGTCTATATTATGTAAGTGGTGGCCAGGTGGTGTAGCAGTTGAGACATCAGGCTTGAAACCAGGAGATTGTGAATTCTAGTCACCTTTAGGCACAAAGCCAGCTGCATGACCTGGGACAGTAACTTACTCTCAACTCTAAAAATAGGCAATGTCCAACCACTTCTTAAAAATCTTGCCAAAAAAACTGCAGAACTCAACAACTCAGATTCTCTGAGAATTGTACATGATTGAATGGAAGAAAAAATTGTGTAAGTAATAAATGTCAGTAATTTGAATTTCAAAGATATTTTAAATTTCCAATATAATTTCAAAGTCAGACTGGTTTAAACAACACCAGCAAAAAATGACAGTGTCTCAGGCATCCTTAAGGTGATTAAGGTATTTTGTCCATATTGAGCAATCAAAGTGTGCTTGATTATATTGCTGCTATTTTGAATTAGGCAAAGAAAAATTATCTGAGGTTTTTGAAATCCTTAAATTTTCATTAGGAAGTAATTAGCTTAAAATAACTACTACAGACTTTGCTCATATTTTCTAGTACAATGTCATACCATCTGTTTTAAAAGTAGATTTCTTCCATAAAGTATTGGAATAATGAAACTTAGCATCAAAATCCAAACAGCTTTCCAATAGGTCCCAAATACTTCTATGATTCCAGAGTTACTTCTGCACGACTTAGAAAGAAGTGATTGCAATTTCTTCCTCTCCAAATAATAATATATTTCTGAAGGAGATGGAAATAAAGTACATCTCTCCCTCCTTAATCATGTCTCTTGTCTACTAGGCAACTAGTTCAGGGCTTTTCAACCAGTGGTACGGGTACCACCTGTGGTACATTGGCACCTGGCAGGTGGTACGCAACCATCCTAGAAAAGTGGTAGCGGGGGAGGGGAATGAGCTGAACCGGTGGCAGCACCGCA